AGATTTGAGATCTCTTGATGGAGTAGTGTGAGAGGGGCTTAACCATTGCTGCCCATGCTGAAATACTCAATGGGTGCATCTACACACCATTATGGCGATGTTGTTACTGCGCTAACAGCCCCTACTGTGCCATAAGTACAGCACACGATTATTTTCAGTAGCTACTCTGCCGTAGCAGTGCACTATAATGGGGGAGTGCCCCAAATAGAGGGGAAGATATTTAGCTACCGCGAAGTAGCTACTGGTCACATGTAGATCCCCGTAGTGCATTGATACGGTGACATAATGTTATATGTAGACATGCCCCATGAGTAACTTAAAGAGCGCAGCCTCCAAGGCTAGGGACAGACATTCAAAAAGTCTGAGCTTGAATTGATTCAATATTTGCAGGTTAGTCTAACCTGGCTAGGCTAAATCAGTTTTGTAACCGAACAGACATCCCAGAAATGCAGGCACATGCCTGCAGTGGCTCAGGCTAGAAGCTAGGGAGTGCTAGAGCAGCCCTCCCTTCCTTCCACAGCATGGGACTAAGGGGTGTGTGGCCAGGCTCTGACAGGAGCTCTGATTAGCCCAGCAGGGAATTGATAACAGTGTTTATCACCCAATTAAGAAAACAACAGAGGGACATTACCAGCTACCTGTTGATTCTGCCTGTTGATTCAGCAGGGACTGTAGCCAGCACATGGTCTGCTAGCTAATACACAAACACCTCCTCAGCAAGGCAGAGGGGAGTGGGGAACTCCTGCTTAGCAGGGAACTATGATGGGAGCAAGGAAGCAGCCTGCAAGTCTCTGGAGCTCCAGCCAGGGAGCAGAGGGGAGGGACCAACCCTACTATGGAGCAGAGAGCCCTGCCCTGCCCTGCCCAGCCCAGCCCAGCCCAGCCCAGAGAGCATGCTGGGATTCTGGGGGTGTCTGGTTTACCTTAAACCAGCAAGGGGTCTGGGACAGATATTGCATAAACTGGTTTGAGCCAAAACAGTGAAGTCAACCAGGTTTATCTCAAACCAGTTTCAGCCATTCTCAAACTGGTTTATGTGCACTGAACATCTGTTCTGGTACAGGTTTAAACCAGTTTCTGATCACTTAAATCAGTGTATGTGTAATGTCTGTCCCTGGCCCAAGAGCTCAGCCAGTCAGATACCCTTCATCAACACTAAGAGCCAAATACCATTTCACCTCTGCATGTCCAAGTGTCACTTATGTAGCCATAGAAGAGCCATCTTCAGTGCTTATGCAAACTTTAGATTCTGTTTCCCTGGCTCTGCCCCCCTGGAGCAAAAACCATCCCACTGCTGTTTATCCATTTCATCCAATGACTGTTAGATGTAAAATGCAGAAACATGCTGCAGAAATATGATGGCCACTTACATGGCTAGGGAAATGGCACTTAACTGTATAAAAGCAAAATAGGATTTAGTCCTAATTGACCTTGAAATTATGTTCACAAATGTAACTGCCTCGTGTTCACACAGCTCGTAACAGGTCATGGAGGTTTAACCCACAAGTGGTGCCCTTTGACAGCCATTTGTGACATGCAGGGCTACAGCCTTCCTGTATGCTATTCCTGGGGTTGCCTGTAATGCTTTGATCTTAAGCAATTTGGGAGGCAGTCCTCAATTAATCCAGAGCAACACTAGATGCCGCTGTCTGCTCTAATCATCATGGGGCACCTCTAGATGAGCCAATCAATAGCACTGCCCTGTTCCCTGGGCTTGCTAGCTCGCCAGTTAATCCAACAAAGTTAATGCCCTCAGATAATCTCTTGTATTAGGCTGATATATCAATTAATGTTAAACCAGGACCTTGCCTGCTGTTTCTGGCATCTTCTTTACCAGAAATTCTGTTTAAGTACAATAATGGTCCCAGGTATAAACCAAATATAAACAGTCCCCACACAAACAATACCAAATCAGTCCTCAAAACAGAGTGCCTTTGTTTCAGGGCCTTGCTCCATTCCTGCTGATTGATTGATCCCAGTTACTGTCCATAACAGGCCTGCTCACAGTTTCTTCTTCAGTCTCCACCAGAGCTCCTATCAGTTTTCTTGCCTGGATCAGACTGACCCTCTTAGCTGCAGGGCTGGATTTATATGCTTCCTAGGCCTGTCTCTTCCAGGTTCCATGTAAAACAGTTTATCTTGAAGGCGTTATGTCCCTTATCCCCTCTTCCTCCATAATGGGGTAGAGGCTCCTATAACACAGATTATTTTGTTTGCTGCTTTCTGGACAGCTGGACTACTAAATTTCGTTTCATTTCAGCTAAAAAATCCATTCAAGAAGAAGATCCCAGCTGGGGCTGAAGTGTCGAACATTCTTGCTGGAGAAGTCAACTTTCTAGATAAGCCATTTATTGCCTTCATCCGACTGAAGGAGGCAGTGGGACTTGGGGCCTTGACTGAGGTAGCTTTCCCAAGCAGGTAACACTCGAACAGAGAACACCTCTGTAGAGATTCTTGGGCCTTTTCTTTTTCCTTCCTATCTCTTCAATTCCTCTGCATATCACACAGCCATGTCCATGGTTTGGAGCACAGAACTGAGGTTCAGGATTGGTAATATAAATTAGAATTTTACTTGCTGAGAATTAAGTGTAAATCTTTGAGAAAACCAAGCATAAAGCCTCCACTGAATTCCCTAGGGAGATGTTCTTTCTTAATGTAGCTTATCATGACATCAAGTTAGGAACTGATCTTGTGGGTATCACTTGGTAAGAGACACACTGTGGAGAATCTCACAATTCTCCTCACTACTGACTTATTTCCCCACCCAAAACTGGGTCTCTGTCAGTGGGTGTGACATGTCCTATAGCTGTTCCTGAGAGCTGTTACCTGCTTCCTTTGTGTTCCCCTGCCACACTTTGATGTAAAACAAATAGAGGGGAAGCTGAGTGTTGCAAAAAAGGAAAACAGAGCTCTCTTAACGGGGAGTACATGGTTTTCACAGGGATCCACCTTCCCTACACCCTGTCCTTACCCCACCTGCTGGGCTGGACCTATGATCTTTCAAGTATGCCCAAGTATTTTGACCGCTGGCTCACCCAATTTCCCACTACTTATTTAGACCTTTCCAAGTCACAAATTCCTCAGGGCTCAATTAATCCTTATTTACGCCCCCTTAATTTATATGTACACTCTAGACCAAAGGGGTCCTTATTTATGGCTACTCACTCTGAGATTCCAGCATCAATCACTAAGTCCTTGTACTTCCTTGATTGATGGATTTTTCATCAATTGATTAATTCTTATTTATGCCTCCTCAATCATATATTCACTGTCCTCAAACTTATCAAATCAGTGAGCCTTCTTTAGTGATACCCTTCAGTCAGTCCCACCATCGCCAGACTGTCAGTTTAATAAACTGGCTCCCAGACAGGCTTCACAGCCACTCCCTGCGCAGAGAGGTTTACCTCATGTCCGAGCCCCAGCATAGGTGGGCTGAGTGGCTGACACTTCTCCACTAGTTACTCTTCACCGGCTTCTGCTCTGACTGCCCAAGGCTTGTCCCCAGGCTGGGACTCAGGTTCGTTGTGCTCCTGGACTCTCTCTGTGCCTCTGCACAGAAAAGTACCACTGTCCTCTGGGAAACCATGCACTCCCCTCTCCAGGGGTGTTATGATTTGGCCCTCTTTTCTTTGGGCCTGCTGGGCCTCCCAGAGGCCAATCAACCACAGCTCCCAAGGCATATGGCTGCCTGCAGCTGAGGCCCACTGGCACTTGAAGGGTTATTCCCAGATGGACTCGCCGGCAGCAGTCGGCCAATGACCCTGGTTGCACTCGGGGTCCTGCTCATAACAGGGGCTGGAGAATGGCTTCCTGTTACAGTCTCCAGTCTTGAAAGTGGCTGACTGAAGGAGACATGGTCATGAGTATCCAGTGGCATTTCTGCTGTTGGAGTGCCTGTCCCATGCGAAACCAAGAAAGTCAAATGAGATCAATGTCACTTTATCCCAATTTGTGTGTCCCTGTCATGCAAATGTATCTTCCTATTAAAGGATAAGTTTGCTGGGAGCTGCTCTGGTGTTGGTGTTGCATATTCATGGTCCCCTATGGGACTCCTAAATTCTACCAGCACCAGGAGCCACATAAACAACTTCCAGGCAGTACAGGGTCTCTCAATCATATTTCACAATCTCAACTCAGGTGAGCTGCAGGGCCCCACCTAAAATACTGACCCTGTTCTGTCAGTCTCTCCTAATAATCTACACTTGGTAGAAGCAACAGATAGGACACAGACAAAGTAGGTCACAATTTCCCACTTGTTGCCAGAATGGAATAACAGGGGCCAGATGGGGCCCTGGAGAGTGAAAACTAGGGGAAAATCCTGCACTGGCCCACAAGGGGCTAAACTAGATGGCTCTCAGTAGTGAAGCTTCTCAAGCACTAGTTGACTCTGTGGTAGCAAACATTTTGCAGATGATTTCTGAAGACTTGGCAGCTTTGGTTTCATTGTGTAAGCAGTGAGCTGGAAACAGGAAGAGGCTGATTAAAAAAAAAACTTTTGCTTTATAGAACTAAGCCCTGTGCTGCTGGGGCTGCAGCTTCTACACAAACCAAACCAAACTGTCTTGTGAACTGTGTGGGATCTCCGTATCAGCACTTTCCTTAGACAGACAGCCCTCTCATCCCTTGATTCCTCCTTCCTTCCAGCTGCCTTGATGGACTGCACAAGGGCTTCATATTTACTGACTGGATTTTCCAAAGCCCTCACCATTGGTCTAACTATGCTGCTGCTAAAGTCAATGCCTTACTACTCCCACTGAATTCTATAGCAGTTTACCATAGCTGACTCTAAGAAACAGAGGCATAATGGGCAGTGTTTGTGCCCTAGGTAAACCTGGCAAGAGAACTGGGGGTGGAGGGGGAGGGTGGCAGGTGAGGAGTGACTGCTGTGCACTGGAAGAGTGGGGATTCCAAGACCAAGGGTGGGTGTGGGACTATTACCTATGCTGGGGACTCAAAAGCAGTCCCTGGCTGCTGCAGTGACAACCACAGCATGGTCTGCTCACCCTGGTTATCGCTCCTACAGCAGCAGAGCTGTGTCCAGGCATCTGGTTGCTACTTCAAAAGCAATGCCATTGGGCTGCTCTTTTTCCAGGGACATGGACTCGTTGGGGGTGGCGACCAATTCTGGTACCTCTCCTAAGCTGGTACCTGGGGCTGATGCCCCAGTTGCCCACCCCAAGATACACTATTGCTAAGGATAGCCCAACACTATTTTACACCAGCACTGTTCACCTTTGAAACACTAGTTCACTAGTCAATGCAGAGTTCAGAGGATAGGTAATGGTAATACATGTACTTCAATCTGACAAAGGCTTCATAAACCACCTTCCACAGCCTGGGGGACCATGTTTTCTTTCAACAGCATCCCAAGACCACCTCAGAGAATGCCTCAGTCTCTGAAACACTGAGTCCTGCCTGTAGGAAGATCTCTGAAAAGGAAAAAAGTAGTTACTCTGGAAATCTGTGTTGTTTCTCTGCTCCCTCTAGGTTCCTTTTCATCCTCCTGGGCCCCAGAGCCAAAGTGAAAGCTTACCATGAGATTGGAAGGGCCATGGCCACATTACTCACGGATGAGGTGAGTCCATATGTCGGGAAAAGTGCTGTATGTATCTAGAAGTTGTATGAGGTTTCAGCATTAGCCCTTTGTTCCCTGTGTGTGAGGTAGGCTAGAAAATGCTAATGGGAGGCAATGGGTGCTCTCACTACCCTGCTAGCACTGCCAAAAGCTGGCTGAGCATGCAGGACATGGTGGGTTATAAGAGTCCTTACTTCCGATCACCTCAATAATAGAAGCAGGACAGAAGTCATGCCCTAGCAGTTCCTCTGCTTATACCTGTGCAGGGCTGGTGCACTTAGTTTTCATCACAGACAGTGGCTGAGCACAGGGATGAATTTGATGGTATAAATGCATTTCCTTCCAGCTCTTCCAGAGAGTTGCTCATTGGGCTCAGGACAGAGAAGACCTCATTGCAGGAATTGATGAGTTTCTGGATGAGCTGACAGTGTTGCCTCCAGGCAAATGGGACCCAACCATCCGAATCCCTCCACCAAAATGCCTGCCCTCTCCACATAAAAGGTACCAAGGGATGAGGACCCAGCAAGCAACTGGGTCTCTTTTTCTAAAGATCAGAAGTAGGCCCAAGGCACAAAGTAAAGCTCAGCACTAGGCATTTAGATCCAGACCAGATCAGCTAGTGCTAGTCAGTGGCTCTTGGAGACTGGGAGATTAAAGTCACCCCTGCTGATTCTGGCCCAAAGAGCTCAGATGAGCTTCAGAACAGGGTGTTCTTGGCAGAGATGTCGCTAATTCCTTTTAAAAAATAAGTGTTGTGTGTGGCCACTACCTTGCCACTGGACCCTTCATTTCATGTGAAGGTAGAACCATTACAGCATTGTCTCCATTTCTGGTTTACTCATGCTGCTGTGGTGCAACTTAGTGCCTCTAGGGTGAGCAGTTGTACTCAGACTCCCAGAGAACAGTCAAGTTAAGAATCCAGTAGTAAAAATCACCAGAGGAAACAGTGTTTGATTTGTTTGTGAAGAGGGTTATGATCTGAAACTGTCCATCTGGATTCCTTTGTGTTTGTCTTAGGATATCTATGCACTTACGGGAATGGAAATCTCACTGCAATGGGAACCTATGTGCCACTGAGGACAGACATGCCCGTGGGCACCAGCATGTCAGTGAAGAGCTGAAGAGAACAGGGAGGTATGCACCCAGCCAAGGGTTGGGTTTTTCTCCAGAATCATCCCCAGAGAAATCTGCTTCACAGACAGGCAGCCAGATTCAGCCCTTGTGTGAATTCAGTAGAACCTGCAGGTGCAGTTCCATTTAGTCAGTGGATTAGTGCCCATTTATACCAATGCTCAGTTTGGTCTTGAACATGGGAGTCCCATAGAAAGTGCCCCATCCTGGCACAGAGTAGATGTAGGTTCATTCCTTGACCTGTTTTTTCTTCCTGTTAGCAGGGCTTGGGGCTCTCTCATGTAGTACTCACATGAGAAACCTGGCCTGGATTTCCATACCACAAGGTGAAGGCACACCTAAGACCCAGATTAAATTTTTGGGCCTAACATTTTATCTTTCAGTGGGTGCCATGCAGCCAAATAAAAGACCTGGGTTGGATTCCTAGGGACAGTCAGAGAAGATACAGTGAGGTATATATGGACTTCATGTTTTTGTGAATGAGTTAGTATGGGGCAGTCTCATGCTTTCATAGTGCCTCACTATATGGGGATTGTCTCTGATGGATGCTTCTAAGACCTGCTACAATACAAATAATAAATAAATAATACTGATGGTGCTGGTTGGGATTTCACTGTAATATGGGAGCTAAAACTGACTTTGGGCCAATAGAGACAAGGCTTTTTTGGTGATATCTTTATCACCAAAAAGATAACCAAACATATAAGAGCAGCCTGAACAAAAGCATTAGGTTCAGTTGCTTCTTTGACCTTGTTGCTTCAGGAGAGGAGGTGGCTCTGCTATTGCATTCTCTTTGCAGAGCTTTCTCACATAAGGCTTGGCTAAGCAGACAGCTTTGCTCCCATGGGGTAGATTGATTGGCTTTGTTCATTATTAATCTCTCTCTTGAATTTCCCTATTTCCATGTTGGCCTGCAGGTTATTTGGAGGACTGGTAAAGGACATCCGAAGAAAGGCCCCTTGGTACTGGAGTGATTTCTATGATGCACTGAACATCCAGTGCTTTTCAGCTATTCTCTATATCTACCTGGCGACTGTTACCAATGCAATTACTTTTGGTGGCATGCTGGGAGATGCTACAGATAACATGCAGGTCTGTGTTAGCCTCACACTCAGACTCCTTCCTGCAGGCCATGCGATATGTTCTCCTCTCTGCAGTTGCTTTATTACCTTTCTTCCCTAGTGAACATTATGTCAAAAGTGGAATATATCAGAACTAAACCAAGTGCTGGCTGCCCTAATGTTAATGGTGCTATGTTTAAGGTGCATATAAGAGTATGTTGTCAGGAAGGGTGCATCAGAAAGCAAAGCTAACACTGAGGTCTCTCCATAATATTATTTGGAGGAAACAACTCAAGTGTTTTCCAACTCACACTCATTAGTTCTCACATGCTGTGTGCATCTTTCCCAATCTTGCAGCTGCTGCTTATGCCTTCAATTACGTACCTACTATGCAACCACTTTGGCCAGAAAACTGGTTGTAACAATTCATGGACAGGGATAACTTTCATTCTCCTCTATGCATGAGATGCCGGGGGGCATCTGCAAGACAAGACAAGACAAAACAAGACAGTTGATATACATATGCATAGTTGATATAAATATGCATCTATTCCCTGGAGTTTATCACTTGGAGAGCTCAAAGCACTTTAAAAAGAAGGATATCATGATTCTCATATTAGAGATGAGGAAATAAAGTATAGGCAAGTAAGTGGTCTTGCCCACAGTCCCATAGCAAATCAGTGGCACAGACAGTAATAGATCTCATATCTCCTAACACTCCCTGCAGTCTTTTATTTTAGCTACTAAACCACAGTGTCTTATTCCTGTATACTGGTTTGCTCAGCATGCAGATACACCACATAGTGCATTTCTGTCTCTCTGAGGAGTGCCTATGGCAGGGATGGCCAACCTGTGCCACACATGACACAAGAGGCATGGGAAGCCTCTGTGTGTGACAAATGGCAAGAGGGGAGGCAACAGGCAGATGGAGAAGGGAGCAGAAAGCAGAGCAGCAGGTCAGACAGGGGAAGGGAATCAGAGTGGCACGCTGGGAGGCTAAGGGACTAATTAGTGGTATGCCTGACAAAAAGGTTGGCCCTCACTGAGCTATGGTATGGGGCATGTGGGTTGAGAAAAGTTGCTTTGGAATAAAGTAGCTAATGAACAGGCAGAACAATAGACAGGAACTGTACCCAACTTGAAATTGCCTGGAGAAACACCAGCAGGGGGCTCTGGTACTCTTGCTAGTACCTGTCAGTCTGCCAATTCCTGTAAGCCAGTGTTTCTCAACCTTTGTAGATTCAAGGCATGCCTTGTTAGGGTTGCCAAATCTGGCTGAAGCTATTCTGGGAGATTTTTTTCCCCAACGTGATGTAATATCATTAATTGTACCATTCAGCCCGTTCACAGTATCAATCTCCCAGATTGCTTTCAACAGTCACTGGGAGATCAATGCTGATTCCAGTAGACTTCTGGCCAGTTCAGGAGGGTTGGCAACCCTACACCTTGTTAGACTCAAGACGTCCCTCAGAAGATGCTAGCTCTTAGTTTTCACTCATTTTTGACTACAGAAAAATAGTAGAGCAATTCTTCTGATGCAAAGAACTCTGAAAGACAACAACAGGTCAGAATGTTTTTAACACATGAATTCCTATTTGAATCTCTAGATTTATCTTGTGAATCATGTCTGCACACCTAACAGTGCTAACATTGCGTGACACCCCATGGCACCCTTGAAAGGATCTCAGGGCACTCCAGGATGCTGCATCACTCTGGTTGAGAATAGCTGCTGTAAATTAACCAGCTGGCAAATCTGCACAGATAAATGCATGCTGGCTTGTTACCTGCAGGAAGGGCACTGTAGGCAGGTGCAGTTGGAGACAGATGTGAATGGAAGGAGAAAGGTTCAGTGAAAAGTGTTCCCTGGAATGACTGAAACTCCTGGCTGAGTTTTGTTTTGTCCCTGAAAGCAGCTGAACAGTACCCTGGATCCAACCAACTGTGAGCTTCTCTGCTGGGTTTCAATGTCACCAATATAACACCACCACAATTCTTAGATAAATTCTACACTCCTTTATAACCTAAATTAGAACCATGGCTCAAGCCTCTACCAGATGACCTAAATCCTCTCCTAGTTACTTAGGAGCAGAGCAAGTGTCTTAGAACCCCTTTGGGCAACAACACACATGCAAACCCAGTTCATTACTCTGACACTGCAGAGTTCACATTTAGCACAGAGATGACTGCCCAGAGAACTCACTTGCCTTGGCCAGGTCCTCCTGCCTAAAGAGTCTGAGCTCATGGGCCCTTCAGAGTGAGGTGTGATGGACTAGTCTGTGTGCAGAACATTGTGCGTGCTCCTGTTGCCTTGTTCTGGCTCTGGTAATAATCCTCTGTGACCCTGAACCAGTAGCATAATTTGGGCTGGGCAAGTAGGGTACCAGCCCTGGGCCTCCATTTAGTGGGGCACCAAAGTTGCACCTCCCCAGGGAATCTGTGGAGCTGCAGCAGCAGCTCTGCACTGGTTAGGCAGACCACCCTGTGCCAGCAGCAGTCAGGGACTTTGAGTCCTTGGGGCAGGTAGAACCGACCACCCCCTGCGCTTCAGTGCTGTACATTCCTTTGCCCCCCAGCAAGGTTTTGTCCAGGGCACAAAACCTACTAGAAACACCTCTGCCCTGAACTTGTCATTTTAGTTATCTGTGCCCTGGCTTCACTATTTTATGGGAACTGAGAACCCACAGCTTCTGGGAGCTGAGACCAGGTAAGTAAACCTTGGTCAGCACTTTGCAGTGAAGGGTGCTATATGAAGCCCTAGGGTTACTGGCTTCTCTTTTCTCTGGCAGAATAACTCAGCAGCAGGGAGATGGCATACAAGGAAATGGTGGCATATGTAGGAAGAGAAAGATAGAACTTACTCAGCCTCTTGGGTGTAAAATTTTGGCAGTTGTTAATGTTTTGTTTGCGTGACTAGAACTTGTTGGCAGTAGTAACAATAAGTGAGTGAGCAGGACATGAGCCCTAGGCGGTGCCTAAAAGGGGGAGCTCTGGAATTGAGCTGGGGGAAGGGCTCATCTTCCTGGCCCTGGTCCTCTTCTTCTCTCCCCCTCACAACCGTGAACCTTCCCTGTAGTGCCTCCAGCTCCGGCAGTCAGAAGAGCAGAGCAGAGCACAGTAATGGTGGCAGCACAGGGTGTAGTTGGTGGAAGCAGCACAGTGTAGGGGCACTGGCCAGAGGTTCCCTGCTATGAGGCAAAGATGTCACCTCCCTCTTTCGCTGCTGAAAATTGGTTTGTTTTTGGCCATCCAACATGTCTTGGCAGGAAAAAAAGGAGATGACATCTCCCACAGCAGCAGCGAAACTTCAGCCTCTGGTTAGCAGCAGCAGCTAAACCTAACAAAATGATTCATAGTCACAGAGAAAAAACGTCTTAGGCAGAGGCAGCTTAAACAGTGGTGGGCTGAACTTTTAAAGAGAATGGCACCACTCCTGCTAGCAAAGCCTTTTTCCAAGTACCAGCTGCTAATCAATTCAGGCTGACAGAACTAGCACTAGGGGGATAGCTACACTGCAATTTAAGATTGACCCTCATGGCTGTCCTCTGCCAGGAGAAGCAATGTGTGCTGTGGAGCCTTGTCTCTGTGTTACCTTGTGACAACTGCTCGTTACACTTCCTGTTCCTTGAACAGAACCCTTCTAGGAATTAGTCTGAAGACCACTTACCTTTCCTTCTGTGTTTGTTTCTAATTATAACCATTATACATAGAAAGTATAGAAGGGCCAAAAGTTTGGAGTAAGGGACTGTGAGATAAGTGCTGGAAGACTCCCTGTGCTTGTGCCTTGCCACCCTTAGGTGAATTCCTGACACATTGAAAGGAGAAGCAGGCTCCACCTTGGACCCCAAAGTTCAGCCTGTTTTTCAAAACTGAGCTGGACTGCTGCTGGAAAGCAACTTTAGGGGTATTCAGTGTAGCTCAGCAACTATGAACTGATGCTTAGTTGAGTTTGGTTCTGTGTTTCAGGGGGTGCTGGAGAGTTTCCTGGGTACTGCCATTGCTGGAGCTACCTTTTGCCTCTTTGCTGGCCAGCCCTTGACCATCCTGAGTAGCACTGGTCCTGTCCTAGTATTTGAAAGACTCCTCTTCTCTTTTAGCAAGTAAGTAGAGCACTTCTGCAGAATGTCCTTGTCCTGAAGGAATGAACCTGCACCTGGTGGTCTCCTCAAACTTCTTCTAATGGAACTTTCAGCTCTTGGGAAACTGGCTAATCCCCACTTCTTCACATAGGGGTTGCGCTGGGCTAAGGTTTAGGGTTAGAGTTGCATTAAAGGCAGAGGTATTAAACTCATCCTCCCCGGTAGGCCAGATGTGTGATGTGGGACTGGTCTGAGGGATGGATTAGGCCCACGGATCCCTTTCTCCTTCTCAGCATATCTAATCAGATGGATGCTCTTCCTGGTCTTGGACTTGTGCTGTGTGTGGTGCAGCACAGGCCCAGAATCAGCTAGAGCAGGCACCATGTGCAATGCATATCCCAGAGCAGGCACCACATGTGACACAGTCCAGCCAGAGCAGTCATTGCATGCAGCATGGCTGCTGCTCCAGTCAGACTGTACCACAAATGGTGCCTATTCTGGCCTCTCTGGGACCTTCACCCCACACAGTGCAGGACCCAGACTGGCTGGAGTGGCTGCTGAATCAGGTGTGCTGGGGGAGGGAGAGGGGAAGGAGGGGGGTGAGTGGATCCATGGGCAGGATCCATATGTTTGACTGGCTGGAGTGGCTGCTGAATCAGGTGTGCTGAGGGAGGGAGAGGGGAAGGAGGGGGGTGAGTGGATCCATGGGCAGGATCCATATGTTTGACATCCCTCCCTGCTTCAATGGAAGACAATTTCTGTGAGGAGGGGCCACACTGCTACTCTTGGGAGAAGCCAACACCCCCACTGCCCTTATTCCCTCTTCTAGAAACCATCTTGTTCCAGGATCCTGTTTTGACTTAACTCTTTTCTGATGTGAGCGTCCAGATGCCACATACCCCCAACCATTAGGTCACTGTATCCATTCTTACATATCTTGCACCCAGCATCAGAGCAGGGACATATTCTAGCAGATTCATAATCTGATTTAAACTAAAGGACTGGAGATAGCCGGACATGATATCCAGGGTTTCCCAGAGTGAATCCCTAGACACACTGAGATTGGTTCAGCCACTGCTGACCCAGACTTCTAGCTTATTGCTCTGCCTATGGCCATGACATTAGAAGATGCTTTTAAAGCTCAAACTCTGCCTGAGAATTAGACAAATGGGGCCTATTTCCAACTCGATGACTAACTCACAGCATATCTTGGTGTGTAGAAAAGGCATAACTGATGTTTATACAGTACCTTGAGATCTTTGGACAGGAGGCTATTAGAGCTTTTTGGCATACTTTCTGAAATGCTCGGGTTCATTCCTTCCACCAGAGACTACAGTCTGAACTATTTGGAATTTCGCCTCTGGATTGGCCTCTGGGTGGCATTTTTTGGCCTGATTCTGGTAGCTACTGAAGCAAGTTACCTGGTGCAGTATTTTACCCGCTTCACTGAGGAAGGCTTCTGTGCCCTCATCAGCCTCATATTCATCTATGATTCTGTGAAGAAAATGCTGAGCCTGGCTGATTACTTCCCTATCAACTGGAATTTCAGGATCAATGACATCACCCACTACAACTGCATCTGCAATTTATCTGGCACAGGTAAGAGTAGATTTCCTGCATTTGGAGGATCTTTCGTTTTCTTCAGCTGCTGCCTCTTGGCTATAAGGCAATGTGCTTTGGTTAGGAGAGCTGATACAGACACCTCAGTGCAGAAGAAATAATGTTTTTCCATAGTGTTGCTCCACTCCTAAGAGTGACCGTTATTTATTTTTGTATAATGGCTGTAGAGGTCAGGAATCTGCTCTGCAAAATTTTGCATAGACCAGGGGTATGAATTTCACTGGGTCCCGCAGGCTGGATCCAGACTAAAGGGCTTCTCACAGGCTGGATTTAGACAGTGGGGCTTCGTACAGGCTGGGTGACCAGAGCTGTATTTTAGTCTTCAGGACCAACTAAACCCCCTGGTTTTGGCAGCAGGTAAGGGGGAGGCATTACAGGAGGGAGGCATCAAATCTCTAAAGCTCTAAAGTTCTAAGCTCTAAGTTCTAAAGCTGTGCCACATCAGTGAGGATTAGTCCCATCTCCACAGGTACTCTGGCAGCTATGGGGATGAGCCCCATAGGCCAGATTCAGCCCACAGCAATGTGTGTTCCAGCCCACAGGAAGCTCCATGGACCATGTTTCACACCCCGGTATAGATATAAACCTAAGAGATAGTCTTTGCCATGAACAGCTTTCAATCTATCAGGTGGACATAAGCATTAAGAAACAATGAGACAATGTCAGTCAGCAGGACAGGCTTCATTATGGCCTGCACTGAGTTGGCTGAATTACTGATTATAACTAATCCCCCCAAGAACATGACTCTTGCTTTGTTTGTGAATCAGTCTTGAGTTCTGTTAATATATTAGCCCCTCACAGAGATTGGCCAAATAGTTTGGAAGAACTCACTTGCAAGCAACTGCTCCTGCTTTCAGTTCTTTCAATAAGCTAAAGTAATCAGGCCCTTCTGGGCTCACAATGAACTCCGGAAAACCCATGACATACGGGAGCATGGTCACCATCAAAGTGACTGTATAGAAAGGGCATCTGATCACTTTTTGTCAATACCACAGTCTCCAGACAGTGAAACCTGCTGCCATCTCATGTGGGAGATGCAGTGAGCCACATGTTGCTGGAACAATTGTCCTATGGGCACTTCCCCTGCTGTTCAACCACAGCAGATGTCCACATAAGGGATGGTGGCATAAGGAGTGCACTTGCACAGGTGCTCAGGGAGCTGTTACATAATCTAGCCACTAGGGGATGATAAAGAGCCACATTACATAGGCCGGGGTTACTCCTGGTATATTTTTTAGTATAGAATTTAGTTCCCAGGCAAAAGGCAACATTAAAACAGAATGAAGTCCAAGAGCAGGTATCAGTAACTTCACAGCAAAAATGTTTCTGGGATGTTGTAATTGTTTTATACCCAGGATCTATACACCAGGAAGGCTGATTTTAACTCCAGGAAGGCCGATTTAGACCTCCCCCCCCGGGGGGTGGTGCAAGCACCTACTCTGGACTCCTTCAAAAACAGCTAGATTTATTTCTTGCTGGGGTCACTTGATCCCAGCTGACTTCCCACCTATGGTGGCGGGGCTGGACCCAATGATCTCATGAGGTCCCTGCCAGCCCCTAATGTCTATGAAATCTATGAACCCAGTAAATGTGGAGTTCAAGCTGTACATCAGAGAAATCTAAATGTATTAAGAAAGACAACAGCTAAGGCAACCAAACACCTTAGCTCTGCCCTATAGGGGCACAATGAGAAAAAAAGTAGAAAACGATCTGATGTGTTTCTAAATATGCTTTTAATCTAATCTAGGACCATAACATTAAAGAGTCATCCTCCTAATTGCACAGTGATGACAGAGCTTCACAATCCCTTTGGGGCATTTATCCCCTCTTGCACAATAAGAATATTGTGCAAATTTGTGCAGATTGCACCAAGGCACTCAAAGTTCTTTGATTGTCCAGCCACCGGTCTCAGCAGAGCACAAGCACAGACAGTGTCTGGATATTTTCCCAATATTGTATTGTAATCTATTCCCAAGAATAGATCCTGAGTATAAAACAATTACAACATATTACCCAATATTTCTACTATTTTTATAGAGGATCACAGAGATCTTTACATTGCTTCTTGCAGTTTGCTCTTTGATACCTCATCATCTCCAGCCCCATCCTGAGTCTTGTCTAATTTGTTATGAAGCATGGGTTCATGAAATGGGCTCTTGCATGTTTGTGAAGAACCATCCTCCCCAAAGCCAAGACAAACTAATTCACAGGGAAGCCTTGTAGAAATGCTTGGCTCTTTTGTCCTGACCACAGCAAATGGTGTTCTGTAGCCACTGGGTGCCACTTTGGAGAATGGGTTCTCTTGTTGACTCTGCCTCACAGCTTTCTACCATCTCTCATCACTTTGACTTTTCATAAGAATATAGGAAGTGCCACCCTGGGCAGTGCTGGATTTAGGTTTAAGCCACTTAAGATACAGTTTAGGGCCTCACAATATGGGGGGGGCTCTAAATAAGAAAAAAGACTAGATATTTTCATTCTAATATGACAACAATATACATGGATATAGCTCCACAGTTATCATTCATACTGAGTTCATAAATTTGTGCAGAAATAACAATAATTCATCTTAAAATTTGATGAAAACCAATTTTTGTGGATTTTGTGGATTATTTTTATCATATGGGGCCTCTTAAACTAGACATAGTTTAGGGCCTCAGCATGTCATAATCCAGCACTGACACTGGGTCAGACCAATGGTCCATCTAGCCCAGTAGTCTGTCTCTGAAAGGGCAAGTAGTAGGTGTTTTAGAAGGATAGCATATGAACAGGACATGTTGAAAATGAGCCTTCCCCTGTCATACCTTCTCTGGCATCAACTGTAATTGGGTTTGGGATGTCAAAGGATAGCATCCCTTACATTCTATTCAATAGCTTTCTTAGGGTCCAGCTCCCCTTGCTTACAGGTCACCAGCTAACAATTCTGCAGGCGGAAAATAAAACCCTCTCCCACCCTGGCAGGGGCCTTAATTTAATTCCTGTTTGAAGGGAGGAAAGGAGAATTGTCCAGTAAGGCTGGAAGATGTAGGGGTTCAGCAAAACTCTAGCAGATTCAACCAAGGCCTCAACTTGGTCTGTTGACCCCCTCAAACCATAATCTAGTTGACCCGCTCAAACCATAATCTAGCATACCCAGGGGTCTCCTGCTCCTGCATCAGCCCTCTGTCCAAACTCCCAGATACACCTCCCCAATCATCTCCCTGAGGCGCAACTGAAGCAAATCACAGAACCCACATTCCCAGTGCCAGGATAATCCCAAATGCTCTTGGAGCTGGTACCATCCTTGTTGCTCTCAGCAATGGGATAATTGTCACAGTTCCCTGTTTGCTCCCTGACTCATGCTACGTGCATATACACATTCCTGTTTGGTACACAAGGCCTCATCTCACTCCAGCAACTTTTCTGGGTTCCTCTTCTTTCCCCCTATGTTGCCTGTTAAATCTCCTTTTTTTTGGTGTTTAATTTACCTTTCCTCTTACTCCCTGTGTAGCCCTGGTTGTCTTGATGGACACGAGACTGTGCACCCAGATCCCACTGAGCTGAGCTGTTAGGTCCCCTCCAGAAAGAGAGGCTTCATCTCTTGCCCAGATGGCACATCAGTTTTGTGCTGAAGGGCTGCCTTCCCAATGCAGAGCTGGGATGCTTTGCTTGTTTCCCACATCAGAGAGAGGCAGTGTTTGACTGCCTCCACTTGGTGCTAGTCCTTTGCTGGAAGGCAGTGTGGAAGAGTCATTTCCACACTCCTGTCTGTCACGGGACATTTGCATTAGCATTTGGAAGAGTGCTCAGCCCAGGTACTGCTTCATTTCTGTTCTTCAGCCCCACTTACACCTCTGTTTCTCCTCTGTTTTGTCTCTTGCCCCATCCCTCCTCTGCTCCTCTCTCTCCTTTTCACCCCTCTGTAGTCAAGTCAGGCATCTTCCTCCTTTGCCTCCATGCTAGTGGCAGGATCATTGAAAATTAGAGAGACCAACCATCAGGCAACTAACTCTGGCCCCCATTCTGGGTGTTCCACAGACCTCCAGAGCAGTAAGTTCACATCATTTCTGGTTCCAATTAGTACAGATGCCTTAGCACACCGCTCCGGGCAGCCTAGGAACAGCACCCCATGAACGCAGCCCATAGCTGCCTTCCAAGCTAGCTGCAGTTTAGCCAACATCAGACAGTGCCAGGCTGGTGTGCTACAGCCTCTCAATAGCATGCTTCCTGGATTCCCATTCCCAGGTGTCCTTGGGGGCACTGAGACAGGCCCAAAATGTAGGGCTGTCCCAGAAATTCAATTGGGTCACTTTACTGGGAACACAGGAGAGAGGATCTCTTTGCTGTCAGCTCTGGTGCTTACTGCCACGGCAGCTCCTAACAGGTAGGAACAGGAACTGCAAGGGAAGTCCTGCTGTCTCAGGACACAGCATGTTCAGTCACCCTGTGGGAGCAGTGTGCTCAGCACACATGGGCTGTAGAGGATGGAGCATACCCAGGACAGACAGAATCTGTGCAGAGTTTAGCAGGCAACTTCCAACAAACCTTTGCTTAGCTTATGGAAAGGGCCATTTTTCAGATATTTGTAACTTGGCCAAATTTGGATGGGGACATCCCTGGCACCAGCATTACCCACCTGCCACATCCCATGTCCCTACTCCCAGGCAGGGAGGCACTGGAGTATCTCAATTAAACTACTAAAAGGTAACCTTTAATGTTGGCAAACCATGTATTTCTCTCCTCAGTTCATTCTCAGGAACATCCTGACCATTCTTACTCTTCCAAAATCAGAAAGCATGAGCCAGACACTTCCCATGGAAAATGGAAAATGTTAGTCACAAACTTGGCAAACCTGAAGCTACAGATAATGGATAGTGTTGGGTAAACATACACACAACAGTGCTCCCAACCCCACCTGTACTAAGGAGGCCCTCTAGAAAAGTAGCTGCAAATTAGGGGGAGGAGGCAGCACCATGTTCTCTCTCAGGAGGTGACAAATGTATGTTTCTCAGAGCATGATTTGGGAAGTACAGGCCTACCAATGTCCCCAGAGGACTAGTCTCAGTTAAACCCCTTAGATCAGAGGCCCTAAACTGTAGCTTAAGTGGCCTTGACCTCTAAAAGCCAACACCGGACTCAGCTGGCCAGGAGTCTTTGCATCATCTCTGCCTGGCACTGTACCAAGCAGTGTATTGGGAGGGAGGGGAGTGAACAGGGCTTCCACCCTGGGTGCTGCTTTGCCACACACAGACTTCTGGTGAGGGGAATTCTGGTGGTGCTCTCCACCCCCTGCAGATGCAGTGTTTAGTGTGGTCCGGGGCAGGGCAGCACAGGGTGCAACAAAGTGGGGGAGGGATGGGGAGCACCACCAGAATTCCCCTCACCAGGAATCTTTGTGTGGCAAAGCAGCACCCAGGGTGGAAGCCCTGTTCACCCTGACCTCTTTATGCTACTGCATCCTGGGAGAAAGCTCTGGGAGCTCATGCTACTAATTGGAACCACACAGTGATGTGACATCCTGGGATGTCACATCGCTGTGTTTGGGAAGGAGGACAGGAATACACACATGTTTTTCTCTTACAGGCAACTCCTCCATATTGAATAAGACACTGCTTCCAGACCCTGACAGCCTTGGGGAGGTGAGGCCCATTCTCTTCTGCCTTTAAGGGAAAGCAAAGGTCTAGAAGTGTGCATGCTCTGAGGTGGTGACTGGAGCAGGAGCTCTCTGTGCTCCTGGGACACAGCCAGGGTCTCTGTATCCCTCCAAGGAGCAGGAAGTCTCACTGATCAGCCATCAAAGTGGTGGAGGTGAAACAGGCCTTTGACCTGAGGAAACCAACTGCTATACTTATGGATGGCCCTGTCCCCCTTAGGAGCATCCACACAATTTATGGTGACCTGCATCCTGTCTCTGAGCCTGGGCTCCAAGGAAACTGGTACCAATGCCACAAAGTTCCTTCCCTGCGGCAGGAGGGGTATCCCTTTCAGAGCTGTGTCTTGGCAGCTTCCAGCTCAAAGAGACACCTGGCACTGGCGGGTGTTCATCCCTGATGTGTCTGTGACCCCTTTGAGCTTTTCATGTGGGCATGTGTCCACATGGTACCATCAGTTCAGCTGATGGCTGAACAAGGCCCATACTAGATCTGCCATAGCCTTCTTCTGTAATGGTGGGGTCAAAGTGTGCTGGCGTGGACCACCAGACACACAAACAGGCAAGCATCCAGTGTTAGCAGCCTGTAACTGTCACCAGCACTAGGCAGTTCCAGCGACACTTTCCTTCCCACCCCACTCTAGAGCTATCACTCTTCCAAGCTCTGGACAGTCTGCCCCATCCTTTGCTCAGGGCTGCAGCGTGCCTACCTATGGTAATCTGACAGTTTCACTCTGGTGCCTCTGATCCATCTGCTCTGGGCAGAGGGATGCTGTTCTTGAATGAGCAGTCTCTCCTCTTTGCCTGAAATATTTCTCTGTTTCTCCACAGTACTGGGCTCTGGAGCCTGCAAACAGGTCCCAGCTGACCAAGAAGGAATGTTTGCAACTAGGGGGCCACCTGGTGGGCACCAGTTGTAACTATGTGCCTGACATCACATTTATGTCCTTTGTCTTGTTCCTGGGGACGTTCCTCTGCTCCATGACCCTCAAGCACTTTAAATTGAGCCGCTATTTCCCCACAGCTGTGAGTATTCCTCTTCCCTTCCCATGCACTGACAGTTCCTACAGCTTTAGGAGGAAGTTTAGCTGCCTCTCCTATCTGGGCTTTGTACATGATCCTCACAATGTCCATTCCAGACCTACTTCCCTATGATCCTGTGATGATGGCTTTGTGTAGATAGAAAGCCCTTACAGAGCTCCAGCAGGTGCTGTACATGCAGACCTTCCTCTGAAAGCCCAAGAAATAGCCCTGAAAACAGGAATATTGCTTAAAATATTATAACATTTTACAGCTATTTAATCCAGCAAAGTCTGATGTCCCATGGATGGCCGAGGTTGTTGGGAGCCTCATGGCAAGCTGTGCTCTCTCCTGGAAATGTGTCTCTAAAATGCCATTAAGTACATACACAGTGCCTCTCCCTGACAGAATTTAGAGTAATTATAAGGAGGGGAAGCATCTTTATTCCCACTTTACCTTGAGGAAACTGAGGCACAGAGCAGATATAAGGCCATATTTTCAAATGCGCTTGCTCCCTTTGGGAGTCCAGGAGGATGCATTTAGGGGTATCAAGGTGGACTCTCAACAGCTGAGGAACCTAAAATTAGTGGCCACTTCTGAATGATAAGCATACATGTAATGGCCTGGGCCACAGTGCAAATGAATGGCAGCACTAAGAATAGAGTTTGGACCCAGCTCTGAATGGCACCCAACACATGATGAACAACGTTCAGAAAACCCCTTCCCTTTCCAGCACTCACAAGACAAGAAACAAGTATGCTTGAGCTCACCGTGGCTCACACGATGTGGCTTTACTGTTTCACTCACCAGCAGAAATATTAACTCTTATGTAGAAGTCAGTAGTTGTGATCAGTGGGCTATCCTGATTTTTAAAGGATTATCTGTTATAGCAGCAGAGATTGCAGGGTCAGTGCTTACCGTCCACCATACATTTTTCTATGCTCTCCAAAAAGTGGGAAGAGAGCCAGGAGACCTGCTTGGCTCACCAGCAATAGTAGGGAGCTACTGAAAAAGAAAAAAGAAGTGTACATGCAAGGGAGGAACAGCTCAGCAACAAGGGAGGAAATACACCTGTATCTCCAGGGCCTACAGATACAAGACACAGAAAACTAAGGCAGGCCTGGAGATCAAACTGGCAACAGGTATAAAGGACAACACAAAGTCTTTCTACAGATATGTAGGAAGCAAGAAAAAAATCAGGGTCCACTGTGAGACCTCTACTGAATACCCAGGGGCAGCCCACAGTCGACACATGTGAAAAGGCAGAACTCCTGAATATATACTTTGCGTCGGTACTCCTGAAACCCAATGAGGGCTGCTCTGACCAGAGGCCCAGGGAACAAGGGGAAGGTAACAACCTACCCAAAATCAGCCCAGAACAGGTGAAGGATCTTTTACAATGCTTGGACATCTTCAAGTCTGCTGGACCAGATGACCTGCACCCAAGAATCCTGAAAGCATAACCAAACTTATAGTAGCACCATCGGCCAAGCTATTTGAAGAGTTGTGGAACTCAGGAGTGGTCCCAGATGACTGGAAGAGGGCCAATGTGATGCCCATCTTTACGAAAGGGAAGAGGGATGACCCCACAAACTACAGGCTGATCAGTCTGATCTCGGTCCTGTGTAAAAGCTTTGAAAAGTTGGTTAAGGAGACCATCAACTACAAGCTGGTAACAGATGGGGTGCTAAACAGCAACCAGCATGCCCTTGTCAAGGGAAGATCGTGTCTAATGAACCTTGTGTCTTTCTACGACCAGGTCACTAACCATCTGGACAAGGGGCACGAGGTTGATGTCATCTACTTAGTCTTCAGTAAACCTTTGACTCTGTCTCCCATGGGATTCTTTCTAACAAACTGGAGAGTACTAGGCTGGACCAATCAACAGTAAGGTGGGTGGACAACTGGCTCAGAGGCTGCTCCCAGAGAGTGGTGATTGATGGGATGGCCTCATCCTGGAGAGTCGTCTCCAGTGGGGTCCCCCAGGGATTGGGGCTCAGACCCATGCTATTCAATATATTCATTAACAATCTGGATGAAGGGGTAGAAAGCACAATGATTAAGTTTGCAGATAATACCAAGCTGTGGGGAAATGCAGGCACACCAGAAGATAGGGCAAAGATCCAGGAGGACCTTGACAGACTGGACTTATGGGTGGAACGAAATCAGATGAGGTTTAACAGGGAGAAGTGCAAGGTCCTTGCCGTGGATAGGAAGAATTCTCACCACAACTATACAGTAGGTATGGTACAACATCTGAATGAGACTTGGAGGTACAACATCTGAATGAGACTTGGGTGTCACAATTGACTAGAAGATGAATGACACAATGGTGTGATGAGGCTGCCAAAAGGGCCAATAAAACTCTGGCGTACATCAGCTACTGTGTGGCCGATAGATCTAGAGAGGTACTCTTCCCTCTCTATTCAGTGTCGGTGAGGCCTCAGCTGGAATACTATGCCCAGTTCTGGGCACCACACTTCAAGAAGGACATGGATGAGCTCAAATGGATGCAAAGAAAGGCCACCTATTTGATTAAGGACATGGAGGGTAGGCCCTATGAGGAGAGGCTCCAGGAACTGGGCCTGTTCAGCCTGAGGAAGGGAAAACTGAGAGGTGACTTGATATCTGCCTACAGATACCTCAGGGGGGAGCATCAAGAACTAGTAGAGCAACTATTCAGGAGAGCACCTCAAGGGAGGATGAAGGCCAATGGGCATGAACTAATAGAGGTTAAATTCAGTTTGGATATAAGAAAAAACTTCTTCTCTGTAAGGGTCACCAGAATCTGGAACGCACTCCTAGCAGCGGTGGTGCAGTCGCCCTCCTTGGAGGTGTTCAAGACGAGACTGGACAGGCGCCTTGCTGAGTTCATCTAAGTCCAATACTTCCTGCCCATGGCAGGGGACCGGACTTGATGATCATACTGGTCCCTTCCAGTCATTTGATTCTATGATTCTAAGTATGTTTAGCGTTGAGCATTCTACATGCAGTGCAAGTACTGCTGATAGGGGGCACTCAAAATGCTCTTTTACTTTATCCCAAGTTCTCTCCATTACATACAGTGGCTGGCAACCTTCTAGGGCCCTGGGCTGGAACAACCTGGCTCAGGTCTGATGCAGGCCAGATGTTACCAGCCCCTGCGCTGCAGGAATAGAGGCGGTTAGCGTGAAGTCAGGCAGAAGGCAGAGTAGAGTTGCACATTATAAACTAACTACATCAGAGATGTATAAGCTTTTGTAAGCAATTGCTTGTTTTAGGAACAATTCCTTGTTTAGCAATTCCATCTCTGATTTAGTCAATCTATAAGATGCAACACTACAGGAAGAGGCTTAGAGTATGGGAAAGAGGAAGCATATTGTCATGGCTTCATTGTATGACTGCTTTTGAGTGCAATATGTCCTCAGGGGAGAACATCAGCATATCTGGGTTATACACAGTCCTCCTTCTGTTCCCTGAATGCACAGCAGCTAACTACTTCTAAAACCCCTACTAACCAGCTACCAGCTCTGCATACATCAGTCATGGGCCATTTATGCTAACTCCCCCAACTTCTTTCTTTGATCCATTAGCTGAGGAAGCTGGTGAGTGACTTCTCCATCATCCTGGCCATTCTCATCTTCTGTGGAATTGATGCTTGTCTTGGATTAGAGACTCCCAAGCTCATTGTCCCCATTGAGTTCAAGGTGAGAACTGAAAGCATAGTGGGGCTGCAGAAGGTAGAGAGGGTACATGAGAAGGATTGCTAGAGTGGAAGGAGATGTCTAGGGACTTGGGGGTGGGAGCGGGAGAGCTGGAAGATTAACTTGTATAGTGATAATGGCTGGGACTGGGAAAAAAGCCCGTGCAGTGAGAAATGCCTATCAGATCTTGATGTAGCTTTTCCCTTGGACTTTCTGCTGAGACCTTGGAGACAAGGCTCATTTTCATATTTAATTCTGAGATGCAATCTGTTCGTGCGAACTAGATGCAACCTTGAACTCCCATTAAGTTCTGCCTCATCCCTGAAGTGGACAAGATCTGAGATCCCCTGTTTCTGTTGGAAACACTTCTTGCTGAGTAGGTGCCATAGCTGGAGGGGATATAGCTGAATCACTCTCTAAGGCTCTGTTGCTGGGGACCTACAAGGACATGACTAATGTGGCATCCAACATGCTGTCCACACAACGTGGCAGGAGTCATTCAGCAGCTAACATAATCCTGTAACATTTTCAGCTGGGATATTTTCAGTGCAAAGGGTATGTCATCCTGGGATGCCCGACTTCTCATTACCCACTCTTTCCACTTTAAGGAGGGGGCCTCATAGTGTTCATCTTTGTGTCAGTCTGGGGCCCTACCCTTTTCTCCATAATTTGGAGGGGTCCTGGAATAAGAGCTGTTGTAAGGCCTGCCCTTCTGACCTCCCCCTTGGTCTCTTCCCCCATCCTGCAAAAGAACCAACAACCCTTTAATCTGTTCAGCAAGCTGACCATTGTAGCTGGTGCCTGCATGTAGAAGTTGTCTGCATTGTAGATGAAGCCAACATGCCATCAGGACTTGAAGGCTTGTCAGGACTTATCTGCAAACAGCCTGGGAATCAGGCAGCTCTCATCATAAAGAGGAGCTTTAGAGACAGGGAAGCCTTTGCCTGAACTCACCTGCCAGAGAGCCAGTTCAGACGGGTTCCCTGCCCACTGTGGGTGTAACTACCATAAGATCCGCCTTTCCCAAGGGGGAGACGGGCATCCCAGGTTCTAAGGTCATAAACCTTCTCCAGAATTGTTTAACCCATTGTGGAGGCCATGAAGAAAAGAGAAACAAGGAATTGGTATAAAAAGCTTCCCCTGGAGAGAGAGTGTCTTTCCCGTAGGAGCACTCAGTGAGCTCATTCACAGGCAGCTCAACCTGAACATTTCAGGAGTAGGAGGCAGAATGTTCACCTTGGAGACTGAAGTCTTCACTTAAGCATCAGAACAGCACAAGCAGTGACAAGGTAATATTTCCTCAGTTTCCTCAACCCTGCCCTGGAGTGAGACACAAGCTGTTTCCATCGTCTGGTTAGTTCTGTTCCTGCTGAAACTGTCCAGAAAGTGCACAGCATCTGAAAACTCCACTGATGGCTTTGTGACATGATCACCCCCCTACTCGCAGCTGGATGGAGAACCCCAGCACAGGACCCCAAATAGCCCTCTCATAAAATTGACTCCCCTTGCTGGCCTCTATAATAGTTGGTCACTTCCCCACTGGAAATGCCCAGTATAATTATAACTGTCTCCTGACCTGCTTATTGGCACCTTTCCTAAAGATCACTTCTCCACTCGCCCAAGATGTGTTAAATAGTACCTCCTTTCAGAAATGGTCTGTGTGAGACAGCAAGCCAGCTCCTCTTCCCCAGCCCTGCATACATACTAGCATGTGTGTGGCTGTCAGACAATCAGTGGCACATTCCATAGCATTAAGGTCAAGTCCTGAGAACTGGTGGGTGTACAGAACAAATTCAGAACAAGTGAAGACCTTGCTATGGAACAGGGAGAATTGGGTTCCTATACTGGGCCACTTCCCACCCTAGTGTGACTCTACTGTCTCCTCTGAGCTGGCATCTGGGATAAATCTGCTCATGTGTTTTTCAAGCAAACTCTTTACCTTTTCCCTTTCAGCAGTGCAGGGCCAGGAGGGATCTACAGAGACCCAGTGCAGATAGCACTGGGATTTTCCACTTGCCAAGCTGAGATTCTTGGACCCTTAACTTGACACCCTGTACTCTGCAGAGCAGGTTTCTGCTGGAGCTGTCCTTGCAAATAAGTAGGTGTGAAGCTCCAGCCAGTCCCACAGTCTATAAATAACATCAACTTAGCAACTGGGCGCAAACTAAACAGTCATGTAATCATTCAAATGATGCCACAGCACGCAGCAAAGCAGGAGACACAACTCAAGTCCGGGCTTGGGCTTCCTACCCCAGGCCTGGGTGTGGAAATGGATTAGTAGGGACTCCAAAGCTAGCAAACAGTCTCCATCTTATTCCCCAGTGCTCCATGCCTGGTGGATTGTGCTTCAGTGTAATGAGGTAGATGCCTGCCCAGCCTCCAAGCTGGAGGCAGAGTGCCATTTGGCAAATGCAGGGGAAATGTCAGGACTGAAAGGGGCAGCGCCAAGCACTCTAGCTAGAGCAGGGTGGTGTTGCAACTTGCTTTGGCTACTCTGTGTGTATTAATGTGCATTCAATAATTCATAACTGGGACCTTCCCTCCATAGATCTTGAAGGGCATTTATCATATTAAGCAGCATGCAGCACCCTGGAGGGGTAGGAGGGGCTCACTTATCCCTGTGGTAGAGAAGCTTCAGCTGAGGTGCCAAGAAAGCACTGCAATAATAAACAACAAGCCAATGGAAGGGCTAAGGATGGAGTCCAGGAGTTGATTCCATAGTTCCCCCTTCTAACCGCTGGACCACTGGCCTTTGGATATGCCCATTTTGGAAGGCACACCTATAGATCTGTTTTTACATGATCACGTGTCTAAACATAGACATGCAAAGATACACTGCACAAGAATCTGAAAGCTAGAGCCACAGAGCCTACCATGAAACCAGAATTGCCAGCTCTTGCAATTATATTATGGATCATACAAAAATAAGCCGTTTTTCCCAAAACATCAGCTCCTGGAATCATGCAGAGCTTTCATTTAACAAGAAACATTCTTGGCCCTTATAATTGCAAAAAATAGTTTGAACACATAACTCAAATGCAGCCTAGATGTTCAAAACCCAGAGAGCAGAGAAAGTGAGCTCTGCCTTTACTGCTTTTTAAACAAAAGCTTGCAATGTTTAAGTCAATCTCCTGATCTTTATGGGCCTTATCCATAAGTTTTCAATCCCTGTGGTCAGCAACAAGGTGAAGCCATGGCACAGACTCCCTACCACGTCACAGGTTCAGGTATTCTGTAGCTTCACAGAAATAGTCTCACCTCATCTCTCAGAATTTATACCCAATAGATCCTTGCCATACAAAAAATATCTCATTGGTTAATTGGTTTAGAGCCTGAGTGAGTGCAAGTGGGCAGTTCACAAGTGCCCATTTCATGAGTCTGATTCCTGCTATCCCCAGTGTGTAGAACAGCAGTCACCATTCCACTTAGTCTGGATGCCTTTTTTTCCCCCCATGTACTGCACTGCACATGTGGGGAGAGTGAGGAACTCACTGTACTGTGAAGCATCATGCAGCAGCTATTGCTGGAGACCAGCCTCCCAAGTTTCATGCCATGGTCTGATTGGCCAACCCACAAGAATCAGATGTTGCTCAAAAAGTTTTTTGCTATTTAGCAAATGCAGAACAGTATAAGTCACTTAAGACAGCCTTAGATAAGGCAGGCAAGCATTTCAATTGTGCAAATGGCACTAGCCATATGCCAAATCCCAGTGCTATCAATACAAAAGCACCACTTAAGCCAATTTAAACACACCTTCTAATTCATGTGGGAGCAGCCTCCACTCAGCTGTTTGCACTTCACTAAGCTCCTGACCTTGCTGCTCAGAGTGCCCTGTCTCTATTGCAAGCTTCAGAATTCAAAGGGGGCAAGGTACACTGTCCTGTGGAGAGTGGCACCCATGAGATCTGCTCTGCTCAAAAGTTAGCCCTCAGGACACTTGCAAGTAGAACATGGGTTTCAGTTCTGCCCCCACAGCAGAACTGGGACATGCACAGATTAAGGATTCTCTGGGCAGGTGGGACACAAGACCCTCCTTCTGCTTTTCAAATCCCTTAGTAAAGTATTGCAATAAGGACACAAGGTGTATGCAGCCTTCAGACCTCTGATCTAATAGTACCTTTGAAATGAACAGGACCTAATCAGATTCAGGACTGCACAGAAAAAAGAACAGTTGAGGTGGGCTAGAAGGATCCACCCATCCCACCTGTTAGGCTTCTTTTCTGACTGATAAATACAGCTGGGACTGTATCCTAGCCCTGTGATATATTATGTAACTCTTCTTATTCTCTGCAAAGCCCACCAACCCACAACGAGGCTGGGTTGTTTATCCTTTTGGAGTGAACCCCTGGTGGATGTGCCTGGTGTCAGCAGTTCCTGCCATTCTAGTAATCATCCTCATCTTCATGGACCAGCAAATCACAGCTGTCATCCTCAACCGCAAAGAGTACAAGCTGCAGGTCAGTTCTGGGAAGGTTGGCTCAAGGGTGCCAATGCTGGTAGGGCTGACTTGGGATTAGAGGATGCTAGAAGTGGTGGGCAGACCAGACAATCTCCCAGGTTTTCATAGATTTCATAGACATTAGGGCTGAAAGGGACCTCACAAGATCATCGGGTCCAGCCCCCTGCCCAAGGGGCAGGAAATCAGCAGGGGTCAAATGATCCCAGCAAGATAGGCATCCAAGTGTTTTTTTGAAAGTATCCGGTTTTGTTCTTGGACACAATGCAGGGCTAGGTTTCCATCGCAGTTGCCTAGCACAGTTAAAACAGCTTACAGAAGAGGGAGCTTGTCAGTCTGGGCACCAAATCTTGCTGTGCTTCATGTGTTCTGGACGTGTGACTTCTAATCATCTTGCAGTCATAGGGGTTTTCTGTGAAAGTCCTTCCTGTCCCCAAACAGCAGGCCAATTGCAGGCCAGGCCCTACAGGGCTATGTGTACATGCAGAGCTGAGAAAGCAAGTGTCTGGGCTGTGTTCTTTTTCAGTTTCCACCAAGATGGAGAATCTAGCTAACTGGGGACTGAAGACTTGGGATGCTCAACTGGAAAACAATGGAACCTCTGATCTAAATGTCTGCATTTAGGAGTGTTGTGATGTTTGAAAACAAAGGGGCTGTACAAAACTCGGTAGTGGGTAAACACTCAGCATGGCCTACTCAGGTGGAGTCTTGTGCTAATGTGGGTATACGCTTGTTCCAGTATATTTGTATAGCACTGCATCATGTGCCAGGGAGCAAGGTGCTGAGTCCCCTCAGTTGACACTTCTTAGCCCTTCCCAAGACTGAGCACTCAGGGTGTGTCTAAAGCCTTTCAATACATAGGAATCCAGTCCCCAGCAAAGCAAGTAACAGCTCCTCTGAAGGAAACATGCTTCTGGAAGCATCATCTTATAGAGAGAAAAAATGAAGGATAGAGACTTTGAGGGCAGGTCTTACTCCACCTAATAGGTGCACAAGAAGACTTTGGGGTCTAAGTATGATCCAATTCCACCTTGCTTGAGTCCTGGGGAAAGCATTAAAGCACTTGTGTAACACACCGTCATCTTAGCCTTAAAATAAGTTACTGGAAAAAGCAAAGAGGAGGAGGACCCACCCACCTTTTGCACTAACATTTGTTCAGGAACTAGAGCAGGGTAGAATAGGGTCACACTTAGGTGCCTAATAAGTAGATAAGAATCTGGCGCCAAGCAACTTGCCCAAAGTTACCAAATGTTAATCAGGACTAAAGGCCAAGTCTTCTCCATGGGCCCTGGATCAAACCACTGGGCCACACTGTGCACTTCAAAAGGTGCCAGGAAGGAAGTCTCTGTCTGTGCTCTTGGTCTCCCTCTCTTTCTTTCATTTGCCATAGACTGACTTTCAAATTCCAGCTGCATGTCCCAGTTTTAAACTGGCTGGACTGTGTGGGAGAGCTGAGGAAGTGATACTGAATACCAGCATGCCCTCTGACACTGCTGTGCTGACTGATCTGTAGCTTAGCCCATGGTCCCTGACTGTCGGGGCTATTTACTCAGGGCTGAGCCTGTTGGCACTTGTTGTCTTCATTAAATTTACTGAGGTTTTCCCTAACCTGTTCGCACAGCCTGAGCTCAGAGCTAATGACAAAGACTTCTCTGAACATAAGACTTTATGCTAAAAGAACCAATTTTCTGGACCTGGGAATACATATAGTTTGGCCTGGCAGCACTGGGATTGTGACTAATCTGATTGTTCTTGCATTGCTTGTTCACTTTCCTTCTACACATCAAACTCATTTCCTAAGAGGAATCAGCAGGAAGATGCACAGTCCCATTCCTTCCTCTTTGCAGCATTGTCCTGCAACAGCCATCTTGTCAGTCCCAACTTTCTGCTTTCCTATAAAGGCTAGATAGAAATGCGCAGGTAGATTTGGGGAAGAGAAGGAGAAAGTGACCAGAGGTGCTATGAAAAGCCTTCAGATACCTCAACACAAAGCAGTGTCCCCACCAGGACCAAAGGAATTTGTATTTGTGAGGAATCTGGCAAATGCAAGTGCTGAGTCCTCTTCACTGTGGTCTGGGGTCAGAGTGTGTTTGCTGAACTTTCAGTATTGTCTGTGTTGACCCTATTCCAGGTGGAGCATGCGTCTTATTGCATGCAAGGTAAGAATTTCTGAACAGTGAGATGGAGCCAGATTGTGTCTGCTTGGTTCTTTTAGGTGTTGACTTGTAGGGCAGTTGGTTCTAGTTAAGGTTAATTCCTGAGAAAATCCTTTTCTGTCTCCATTTTTGTTAAAGAATCTCTCATAGCTTTGTTTCCTTGCCTGCCCACCTCCTCTGTTTGGGTAACCTTCTCACATAGTGGTTGTCTACAGTGTGGAATATTGCCCTCAGTTGCTCTATCTCAGGGCTCTTCTCAACCTTCCGGCTGTATTCGGACCAGACCTTTCTTTTTAACCTTCTGTTGTAGGCTAGGCCACCATCAGGATTAGTTATCTGGGAGACAATGGCTATCCACCTTGCTCTGCCCCCATCCCCTATGGGGGCAGGGGGATGAAGCTGTAGGAAGAGCAACCCCTCTCACATCCCCTGGCTGTGGAGCACACTTCTGCATGCTGTTGCAGTGATTTTAGAAGCACTCTGATGAAGGAGGGGCACAGTAGGGGGCTGCATGTTTGTCTGTGGTCTAAATCATTCCACACTTGATGTGCTTCTCATCAGACTGGAATTTGGAGCACTTCAAATGTAAGCTTGATAAAGGCCTCAGAGATTACCAGGTTTCTATCTGTATCATGGCCTTAAGATGGCAGCCCTTCAGACAAAGAATGGCCACTCACTAGTCAGCAACAACCTATTGATTATCTTCCAAGAAAGAAACCCAGTTTCTCTCAAAGGAAGCCAACCACTTCTTTGTCCAACAACTACCCTACACCATCATCAATGCAACATGTTTAACAGAAAGTTGAGCATCAACCAAGAGAGACCAGAACCATCCCTGAATCCTCTATTTTTACTGTGTATCCCTGATTTCCCAGGCTTGGCCTGGAAGAGACACTGATAAGTGAGCACTAGAAGTTATTTCTTCTGTGTACCCAGTCTCATACCCACCTTGTTTTTCTGTCTGCCTTCAGGAATTATTCTCACATAAAACAATTGAAAGGCAGTGCAGCTGCCTTGCTTTGCCTAGAAGTTCCAGAGAAGATATCTCTGGAATTCAGAAAAAGAGGTTTCTACTGCTGATGTTTTCTTATTCTGAAGAAAAAGCGGGCATATTTGTTTTGTCCTCACATCTGTATGCCACTTCAGATTCAGGATGGCAAAACTTACCTTCATCATGCATTTTTACAGGCTCAAGATAATTTGTGCCCCTCACTTTGGAAGATGCACACTTCTATATTGTGACCCATCTGGCTCAGTGTCTTTATTTTCCATTAGGGCCCAACTATTAACCAGTTCTTCCAGTTTCTCTCTGCGCAGCACACAGAGTCTTCATAAAATGCATGCATGTAGCAGTATGGAGACAAGGCATTCATGGCAATCTGTATCTAGATGATTGGCTTAGTAGAGGTTGGTCTCATCAAGGTGGTACCACAGCCCTAAATGCTGTCCTTGACCGGTTCAGAGAGTTGGGCTTGATAATAGACAATACAAAAATATTGCCCAATTATTTACTGACAGTAAACTTAAAGGAACTCTGATAAAACTAGATGGACAAAGGCTTGCCTGCCAAAGGCAGACATTTCAATTTATCAAGACTAGCATCTCCAATGGCAAGACAAATCCATAAATCACAATGGGAACCTGTCTCAGATATATCAGGCATATAAGCCATATTGTCAGTTTGCAAGTACATAACTAGACTTCAACTACACACATTACACAGCTGGCTGAAGTCAGCATAGTTCTCTGAGACATCAAATGGACGTGCATTTTAGAGTCCCAGCTTCTATCTGGTTTTTGCAAAATGTATGGAAAGGAGTAATCTGCTCCACCTCTTTATTTGTAAAAGCACTGATTATGGCACATCTGGAACATGTTGGGGACTCACCCAGACCATCTCCAAAAATAGGGAACTTGGTCCTCAATGGAGGTAAAACTCCATGCAAACTTCTTGGAAGTCAGGAAATCAAATACGTTTACAAAGCCTTCCTGCTGACTGTAAAGACCTCTACCAGACAGATCATAATAGGCAATATGCCTGCGTTGTAGAATATAAACCAATAGGGAGATGCCTATTACTCACCCCTATGTCAAGAGGCATTCAAACTACAAATGTGGTGTTAACTTTATGGGGTAACCCCAAGTCCTCTTCCATATCCCAGGTGCAACCATTTGGAAGATTTTCTCAACAAACAATCTGTCACTAATCCTAAATGGTCTCTGAAGAACTCTGTCCTTAGATTGTATTTCACCAATGGGAAGACCTTCTTATAGATTTGTTCACTGCAAAAAGAATTTTCCTTATGACTACCAAACCAAAATGTAAATTGGTTCAGATAGACTTGAACTTTTTTTGTCCGGGTTTTTGGCAAACATATCTTCTTTGAAGATCAAATCAGTTTCTGAAATCACTTCCAGACTGCACAGACACAGTAGCTCAGAACCATGATCACATTTTTTCTGCTGCCTTGAAATTAGTGTTGGTTGGTTAAGTGCTATTGACAAAAACTATTTACTACAGGCTTGGGGTTCTGGGTATAAGTGAAAACTGCACTGGGAGCCTAGATAAAGAGGGGCTGGTTGATCTCTCAAGATGTGATTTGCATTAGGTGAAACCGGAGAAGCTGGACTGGCTGGAAGCTGAGAAGTTAT